TCTTGAACTGGAGATGTGGCTCAAGTAGTAGAGTTCTGGCCTTGAGCAAAAATAAAAGCACATTGAAAGTGAGGAAGCCTCAAGTTCAAGCTCTAATAGTGGCACACATCAAATCAAATAAACCCATGTAGCCTATTGTTTTATAGTTTACCTTATAGGTAAGCAGATTTTTCTGTATAACATTGAACTTAAACTAGAGACATTCTGATCATCTCCAGTTCAAATGCTTTTCAAAAATTTTTATAGTTATTATAAAGTTTATGTATACAGGGGTTACAACAAATGCTTTGAAAGAGAATCTAGTTTTAAACTTTCTGATAACATAGGACAAATCTTATACAATGAATTTTGTTTTCAAAATAATGGAAGATCCTTTTGCAAGTTAGAATCTTGAATGCTGATTTTTTTATGAATGGATTTTTCCATCATGATTTTGCTAAATTTATTAGCTCTGTGTGTGTGTGTGTTCTAGAATTTTCTGTATATAATACCATGTCATCTGTGAACAGAGATAATTTTACTTCTTCCTGTCCATCTGGATATCTCTCCTTTCTTTTTCTTTCCTCACTACTCTAGCCATAGCATCACATGTTGAGTAGAAGCAGCATATTTATTGGTCGTTTCTGATCTTAGTCTATTATTAAGTATGGCCATTGTCATGTTGAAGTTTCCTTCTATTTCTTAATATGTTGAATGATTTTTAAAATCATGATAGTGTAAAATTTTGTCCAGCTTTTTTCAGTATCACTTAATATGCTCCTGTGTTTCCCTTTTCATTAACTGCTGTATTATGTTAATTTCCTTATATTAAAACATTCTTGTACTTCCAGAAAAGGCCCCACTTGCCAATGATGTACACTTTAATAACTTTGCTGAATTACATTTGCTAGTATTTTGTTAAAGGCATTTGTGCAAAAACTCATGTGGACTTATAATGTCTTTGGTGTTGGGGCATTGTTAGCCTCATAGAATAAGTAAAGAAGTGCTCTCTCAAGGAAAGAGGTGATATTGTCCAAAAAGAAATGTACTCTACCTTACTTATGTAACTATAACTCCTCTGTACATCACCTTTATTATAACAATACATTTTAAGTGCTCAATCCTTACATATTTAGGAAGAGTTGGAGGACTGGTATTATTTCCTTAAGTGTTTGGGAGAATTAATCAGTGAGCCCTCTAGTTCATTATTTTGGGGAGGTTTTATTTGGGGGGGTTTTGTGTATGGTATTGGGGTTTGAACTCGGGGCCCCACACTTGTTAGGCAGAAGCTCTACCACTTGAGTTATTGTGCCTCAGCTCTCTTTGCTTTTGTCATTTTCAAATAGGGTTTCAACTTTTGCCTGGGCCAGTCTGGACTGATTCTATTCATGCCTCCCCTGTAGCTGTGATGACAGCCCAACGTTTTACTGGTCTTATAATCTTTTTTCCTGCGCTGGTCACCAACCTCATTTCTCTAAATTAGCTGGGTTACAGGCATGAGACATTAGGCCTGACTAAATTTCCCTCTGAGTTTTCATGCATCCCATGTTGTGTTATGCTGTTTTCACTTTCATTTGTTTTGGGGTATGTTCTGATTTCCTGTATTATTTCTGACCCAATGGTTGAATATGTTGTTTAATTTCCACATATTTGTGAATTTTCTAGTTTCCCTTCTACTTCATTTCTATTTCACGTGGTCAGAAAAGGTAGTCTATATGATTCAGTGTTTAACATATTTTTATAGCATTAGAGATTGGACTCCAAGCATTGCACATTCTAGATAAGCACTCTACCACTAATCTACATCCCAAACCCAATCTTCTTCATTTATTAAGACTTGTTTTGTGATGTAACACGACTTATCCTGGAGAATGCATGCTGAGGGTGGGGCAGGAAGGGTCAGTTACCAGCATTAGCTTCAGACATTTTCCTGGCTTATTTATGTGTTTGAAGCTGCTGCTGCTCTCAAATAACTTTGGAACCTACAGATTGGGCAGATCCCCAGTTGCTCCAGAAGCCTCCTAATTTGTGCTCCCAAGAGTAGCAAATAACCAAGCTAAAGAAGGGTGATCCTTAAGCTCATTGGAGATTAGAGAAAACAAATAGAGCACTCAGTCCTGGTCTGGAAGGGGAGATCAGAAACAGGCAATCTACCTGCCTGTCATTGCCTCCAGATCCTGTCCAGGAGTAAACTACCCTGTGAGAGAGGAGATTGGGGAAATAGAGTAATCTGCTGTACCTGAGCTCAAAGTAAGCTCTCAGTCCACTCAACAGCAAGCCACTCAGTCTTCAGTAAATCCACAGGCCATTGGACTTGCTCTTCACCACAAAAGCTGGAGCCAACATCTGTACCTCCTGGAGCCCAAGTTCCTTCCTACTTACATTTCTCAGATGGTCCACATCTGTACATTCTCTCTCTGTTACTATTTCTTGTGGCTCTCTCACCCAGTGTGGGAGTGTCCCTGACTTCCTGACTTGTGAGTGTTCCCTGCTTTCAAGCCTCCCGAGCAGCTCAATCTCAAACATTAGGTTCCCTCTCACGATTGCACTTGGTGATAGCACTCCGAGTTATAAGGAACAATGTAGTTGATTTCTTCTACAATGCAGCTTCCAAAGGTCTCTGTTAGATCAGATCCTGACTCCTGTGTCTAGGACAGAAGTGTGTAAGCTGCCTGGCTTACTCTGTGGTTGTGACTTTGGCTCCCTACAACCACCTAGAGGTGTGGCTCAAGTGATAAAGTATCAACAGTGAGTGAAGAATATGGGTAAGAGCATGAATCCCTGAGTTCAAACCTCAATACCAACACAGACACACAAAAAGTTTGAGCATTAGGGGCTATGTGACTCAAGTGTTAGAATGTTTGCCCAGCAAATGTAAGCCAAGTTCAAATGCCAGCACAACTAAAAAAAGAAAAAAAGCCCAAGGCTGAATACTCTTCGATTTGTGTAAACATTCAAATGAACTGTTTGAAGATAGCTTTGGATATTTTCAGTACTGCTTTACTCATCCTCATGTTGTACCTTTCCCTTCAGCTGGTATGGCCTGCTTGTTATTCTATTCAAGAAATACTAACATGATCTCAGCAACTTCAGTGATACTATCTGTGGATACTATCTGTGGTTACCTTATATAGCTCTTGGTCTTTATTTCTGTGTCTTTTAAGATATCCATACTTGGAGCCACTTCAGGACAAGGGTTTGCTAACCTAGCCCAGTCTTTTTGTCCTAACATCTTTAATTCAAATTTTTTTTTTGTTGGACGTGGGGCTTGATCTCTGGGCCTGGGTGCTGTCCCTCAGCTCTTCAGCTCAAGGCAAGCGCTCTACCACTTGAGCCACAGCGCCACTTCCCCTAACATTTTCGAGTCAAATTTTCTACCTCTGAGTATCAGGGCTGAGAGTGCCCGTTTTCTTTTCTTTCTTTTTTTTTTTCCATCATGGGGCTTGAACTCTGGGCTTGGGCGCTGTCCCTCAGCTCTTCAGCTCAAGGCTAGTGCTCTACAACTTGAGCTACGGCACCACTTCCGGTTTTCTGGTGGTTTATTGGAGACAAGAGTGTCATGGTCTTTCCTGCCTGGGCTGGCTTTGAACCATGATCCTCAGATCTCAGCCTCCTGAGTACCTGGATTACAGGTGTGAGCCACCAGCTCCTGGCTAAGGGAGTGCCAGTTTTTAAATTAAGGTAAGACTGACAAAAACAAAAATCTAGGTCATTGTTCTTTCTCTCTCTCTCTCTCTCATGCTTATCAGATAGGGACAAATGTTAGACCTTTCCTTCCTGATTGTCTTATGCCTAGTAGTGTAACACAGATCTCAAGCACATTGGGTAGAACTGATAGACCTTCCTTCTCATTGGGTTAGCTGAATGAGTACTATTACTATAGAGCAGACATTTACTTTTATATGTACATGTAATGAGATATTGTTAAACTAGATGATGCTATATTCTTACTACTACTACTACTTCACCAATCATCAAAATTATACTTCTATAATTTAAATTCTATTACATCACACATCTGCTAAAACCCTTTAAAAGGCACTCCATTTGAAACTCAAAAGTCCTTAAATGGCCTATGAGGTACTATACCATTCTTGCACACTACCTCTCCAATACACATGCTATTATCATACATTTTCCTCAGCCTTCTTTCTTTTCTTCTTAAGTCATTTTTTCAGGGGCACTTCTGATCTTGGGTTGTTCTTCTAATGACATCATGGCATGCAATTCCCCCTTTGGAGCCTTTGGAGTTACTGTTACTGCTGCCTAAAATGCTCTTCTCCCAGATACTCATAAGAATTTGACATCTTATTCTGCTCTTTCCCAACAGTATTTATTATGACTACTTATGCATGTATTACTTGCCTCCCTTACCTACACTATCTGAAGATCAGGCACTAGTTTTATGTACTGCTTAATTCCTAAAACTGAAAATTGTGTCTATCACAAAGTAGGTACATTTGTTGAATTGCTTTTGTTATGATTTGCAAAATTTTCATTGTGGTGCATAAATATATATATATATATATTATATATATATGAGGAAATATAAATAGGAACTTGAAGCTTCTAGAAATGTGTATTTGCCTACTTTTCATCCAACTGCTCTGACAGTTGAATACAGTGAATACAGCCTCTCTTGCAGTGAGGGAGTTGTCAAGACAAGATTCTTTCTCTCCTGTCTCACCACAATGATCTCTCTTGTCAAAAAATGTCAGGGTTCTCCAGAAAGCAGACTGACTACATTTAAGCTTTTGCAATGAGCTCACACTACATCTATGTAAGTTTCAGATTAAAAAAAAAAACATCGGGTGCTGGTGGCTCACACCTGTAATCATAGCTACTCAGGAGGCTGAGATCTAAGCATCGCCTTATCACCAATAAACCAACAGAAAACTGGAAGTGGATCTGTGGCTCAAGTGGTAGGGTGCTAGAGGGACAGTGCCCAGGCCCAGAGTTCAAGCCCCATGACTGACAACAACAACAACAACAAACAAACAAAAAACAAAATAGAAAGCCTCTCAATTACAAAGTTGAGTCTTGTAGAAGCTTTTATTTCACTGATCAAAGAATGAACTAAATTGAATCACTAATGATTAACATCAGGCATGCACCCCTACCTGAAATTGCTGTTAGTTTCTGACCAGCCTAAAGTTTCATAATTTCTTTAGGCACATTTAAAAGTTTTTCATATCCTGATATATGGGGTAAGATACTTTCTTCCTGTGGCAGTCTAGTAATGAGAATTAAGTTCACTGACTCGATTCCTTTATAACTATAAAGGTCTCTAGATTCTCAAGCTGCCAATTCTTCTTTGAAACCATATTTCAATATAGGTATTTATTTCAATATAGATATTTAAGTAAATCATAGGGAGGGAAGAAAGTTAACCTAGAAAGATGAAGTGTACTATATAAACACTCCATCATTTTTCTGGCACTGATGGTCAAACAGTAGATAAAGAGGCCCACAGTTAAGTGCCAAGTTATTCTTCTCCCACGGCTGCCTTTTCTTGCACAAAGATCTCCCTCAAATCTGAAATTATTTCACACAAAAGAGATGTGGTCCTACTATCAAATTACAGAAAGCATTTCCACTATCAATATTATAGAAAGCAGTTAAGGAGACCTTAAGAAAAGCACAGCCCTACATACAGTAATCTGCATGTAATAGTTTTCCATTTGTCAATTTCACATGATTAGCATTAAAAACACAACCAAATACACGTGACCCTCAAGCTTCACCCCCACAAAACATTGGTCTTTGTTCATTGTCAAATGACAAGATGTCCCAACAGTGAGAAAAGGTGGGTGTCAATCCTCCATAGCCATTTCTTCAATCATTCCCTCAACAGCTCTTCATTTCTTGGACTACCTTCCTTTTCCAAAGAGGTAATGCTGAGATCAGTCAGAAAGGCTTTCTGAGAAGACTGGCTTGGATTTCTGGGTCTGTTCCAGTCGATTCAAGATGAATTGGCTCGTATCAATGAAGCGCTCAACGCAGTTCACAAAACAGGCCTCAGCCCGACTGTCCAACTTTGGCCCAGGCTTGTCCATGCACTTCTCCTGCTCAGGACAAAATATAAAATCACAACAGGAACTTGCAAAGAAAGAAAACATGTAAGAACAATATCTGATAAGTTACTCTTGCACATTTGGAAGTATACTAGTTGCCAAACAATTTTTTTACTGGCTTGTCTTAAATTCTTATAACAACCTTGTGGGAAAGACATTATTTTAAATCCTTGTTTTGGAGAAAATGAGGAAAACTGTGGCAGAGATATCCTTTGCCCAAGATTATAGGGCCAGGGAATTGTGTAGGTCAAGAAAAATGGTAAAAATACAAGATAATTCTCTTTTGTGCTGAATTTGGCCCTAACTGCACAACATTGCAGTACTTGCATTAAATGCCTTTATATTAACTGTAAGAATGAAAGGATTAGAGGATAACTCTTTATAGTAAGGCACCCTAAGTTCTATCAAGGAAATCATTATTTTTTTAAACTTTTTAAACTAGTACATTGGGGCTGAGAAGGTGGCTCTGTGGTAGAACGCTTGCCTTGCATGCCTGAGGCCCTGGATTCGATTCCTCAGCACCACATAAGCAAAAAAAAAAAGAAAAGAAATTAAACTAGTACATGGATGTATACAATAGATTTTGAACAAATTCACTCCTTCTATTATGTTCCTATGCCCTCTTCTCCCCTTCTATGTATGTGTATTTATGTATATATGTAACTTCATATATTTATATGTATGTATGTATATATATACATACTGTATCTAAGTACTTCTGTCATTTTTACCCCTCCCCTTTTTTTTGCCAGTCCTGGGGACTGATTTCAGGGCCTGGGCACTGTCCCTGAGTTGCTTTTGCTCAAGGCTAGCACTCTACCACTTGAGCCACAGAACCACTTCCAGCATTTTCTGTATATGCGGTACTGATGAATTGAACCCAGGGCTTAATGCATGCTAGGAAAACTCTACCACTAGGCCAAATTCCCAGCCCTCTTTACCCGTTTTTTATCATTTTGTTTCACTATGTAGTCCAGGCTGACCTTAAAGTTGCAATGTTTCTTTCTCAGACTGGGATCACAAGCATGCTCCACCACAGAGGGTTTTTTTTGGGGGGGAGGGGGGGATGGGATCTGGTCGTGGGGCCTGGACTCGGCCTGGGCACTGTCCCTCGGCTCTTCATCTCAAGGCTAGCACTCTACCACTTGAGCCACAGCGCCACTTCCGGCTTTTTTCTTTTTTGCTTATGTGGTGCTGAGGAATCGAACCCAGGGTCTCATGCATGCAAGGCAAGTGCTCTACCACTCAGCCACCTTCCCAGCCCAAGCCAGAGGTTTTAGAGTCTTCAAGATGAGTGAATATTTATGAGTTTTCCTAAAAAGTCCATAGTTCATAGATCCTTAAAGTGGCCCTTGCTGGGCACTGGTGGCTCAGCCTGTAATCCTAGCTACTCAGGAGGCTGAGATCTGAGGGTGGCAGTTCAAAGCCAGCCTGGGCAGTAAAGTCCATGAGACTCTTATTGCCCATAAATAAAACACCAGAAAACCGGAAGTGGTGCTGAAGAGCTCAGGGACAACACCCAGGCCCAGAGTTCAAGCCCCACAACCAATCAAAAAAATGTAGTCCTTATCCCCACCCTCTCCAAGTAAGAAATTAAAAATAAAGAATCAAAACACCTTAGTCAAAGACAGACCTGAATTAATAAGTAAGCATTCTGAAGGATCATAGTCCAGTTTATGAGGAAAGTGACTGTAAAAACCGATGCCTGATTCTAGTTCAAAAGTGGTTTCAATGAATTTCATTCTTGATTCTTTGCTGTAATCGCAAGCCCCCTACTCCAAATACAACAAATTATCTGTCCTCTAAGTTCAATAACTTTGTATGTGAATCGAGTGCAATATGCCCGCCTTGACAACCAGAATAGTTTGATCTCCTGCTACAAATGCTTTCTAATATTTTGCCAAAGTCTCCTAGTAGGGCAGACTCAAATCTTCAACTTTCAGATTCGAAATGGCTTGGGACTGCACAACTCAACAAGACAAGTAAATGTGTATGTTGGGAGAAATGCGCCCAACTTTTATTGTCAGTAGGCTCAAGCTACTCATTTTTTTCACTAGAGGGGTTAGAAATGGGTAATCAAGGTAACTCCTGAGAGAAATCCAGGAACAGAAGATTCCCAAACTCTCGGGATCTGGGCTCCCTAAAATAAAATTCCAGTACTGGGGGTCGGATCGTTCTTGGTAACCAGCATTAAGCAGCTTCAATCTCAAGTGTCTGGAAGTGCTTGGTAGGATGGCGGCCTAAGGCTGTGAGCTCCAGTTTCTTGCACCAACAAAGCGAGGTCCGGAGTGGAGAGAGTCCTCAGAAAAGTGGGGTCACCCTTCTCCCTTCCTGCTCGGCCTAGGGAGCCTGAGCCATGCCTCCCAGAGAATGCTGGTGACTCTACCCTCTTTTTAAATTCCCTGGGGCAAAGGCAGAGGGAACGTGAGGGCACTGCCTAGATCCCAGCCCCAGGATTCTTACCCAACAAAGTTCAGTCATCTGGTGCACCAGCTGCTGGAAGCGCTGCTTCTGCGTCTCCACCTCAATGAAATGCTGTAACTGTGGGTCCACTGCGCCCAGACCTCCCGCGGAAGACGAGGACGAATCCATCCCGGCGCGAACACGCGTGCCGAGAACTCCGCACCAAGTCACCGACCTTCACGTGTCTCAAAGACGGAACCGGAACCACAACCCACGGCCTTAGGGACCGCCCCCGTGAGCGCACTGCGTCGGCGCAAGGCTGCCGCCCTAGACCACTCCGCCATTCCGCAGGCCTGGCGCCATCACCCTGTTCTTCAGACGTGCGGGATCCGTAACCCGCCGCACTTTCGTGGCAGAGCCTGGCGTGCGCCTATTGCGCACGCGTGGTCGAGACGTTAACCCCAAAACAAAAGAATAAAGAGGATATTACATTAGACCACGTGTCCTGTTGCGGGAGGGCGGGGCCTGGCTGCTCTGCCCCGGTGCACTTCCAATCCGTCCCCGCCTTTTTACCACTCCCGGGGGGGGGGGGGGGGGGGGGGGGATTGCCTAGGCCGGGACTGGCCAAAGGCGTGGCTGGGAAGGGATGGAGGGTGGGGGAGGGATGAGGATGAAGGGGCGCTGGTTGTAGTTCTTTGATAAATTCTTCCACGCAGGCTAGTGAGGCTCTTGATAGTTTACCATTTTCTTTTAATGATACTGCACAGATACTCACTGTATCTGAGAATTCGAGGCAGAACTTAAAAAGAGCAAGACGGGTGAAATGTCGAGGATCCTTTGGAATATGGATACCCAATGCTTTACAGTTTTCTGCAATACTGAGATAGGATGCTCCAAGGAGGCTACATGATTGAGATGAGACACCTTCACTCTTTACAGTAATTTTATTTTTTCAAAATATCTCTCCCATTTTATGACACTTTCTGCCAAATTCCAACCCACCCGTAAGCTCTCATGCTTCCCCAAAGGGCAGTGGGACCCCCTACAAGATTATTTACATCCCTCTCTCCCCACCCCACCCCACCCCACCCCTCAAATGTTCCCATCCTAAATTCAGTCTCAAATGTGCTTCTCTTGGATCTGGGGCCAATACCAAGCACAGAAATCTTCTGATGTTTGTTCAGAAGGAATGAAACAAAACTATTCCTAGATGTACAGGGGCCTTTATGGATTCAGTTGAGAGAACAAAGACCCCTGATCCTGAAAACCTGTGATTTCTCAAAGAAAGTGAAATTGGGGTTTGGAGAACAAAGGAATAGAACGAAGAAGCTTATAGGCTAGTTCAGGATTCTTCATCCATGACATCTAGAATGTTGCTCAGGAGAATTTTGAAAGTGGGACGTTCATCTGCTTTCTAAAACCAAACAAAAAGTAGTGTGTTACAGTGATTAGACTCCAGAATCCAAGGAAAATATAATTGAAAGTAGCAAATGTTTATTAAAAATATACTATATGCTTAGCAGACTGTTGATTTAAAAAAAATAGCAGCTTTCCATAAAGTCTTTGTGCCCTTTTCATCTTTAGTAATTCAACTTATTAGTGATTAGAGCAAAACTCAGGTTATTAGTACAATAAGAATCTGAAAACTAAACTGATAAACATTGATTAAAACATAATTGAATATGCTTCTTATTTTGGAGCATCAAGTGAAAATGGATACCAAACAAGTGGCTGGAAGAATAAATGTCCTACTAGCTGTAATAAAGTTTAGTTTGGTTTCAAGCAGTTTCAACAATGCCAAAGAATATGAGTGAGGACTTAACATTTCCAAGCCACAAGCCATATAGCTGTCAGAGACCCTAAACACTTGGGACATTTTGTCTGCTTTTCAGACTTAGGCTCTTTCTTATATGTCTGTAATCCCTGAGGTATTTCATGATTGATGGAACATTCATGCCAGAGTGGGTTCAATCTGTTAGAACCAAAAGGACTTCAGTTCTTTAGTCCAGTGAATTGGTGGTTCTTAAACTAGCTGAGTTCACTGGGTGTTAGTGCTTTACACCTAGAATCCTAGCTACTCAGGAGGCTGAAATGTAAGGATCATGGTTCAAAGTTAACCTATGCAGCAAAGTCCATGAGACTTTTTTTGTCGGTTTGCGGGGCTTGAACTCTGGGCCTGGGCACTGTCCCTCAGCTCTTCAGTTCAAGGCTAACACTCTACCACTTGAGCCACAGTGGCACTTCCAGCTTTTTCTGCTTATGTGGTGCTGAGGAATGGAACGCAGGGTCTCATGCATGCAAGGCATGCACTGAGCCACCACTGAGCCACCTTCCCTGCCCCTCCATGAGACTTTTATCTCCAGTTAACCACCTAAAAAAAACTGGAAGTGGAGCTGTGGCTCAAAGTGGTAGAGTGCTACCCTCGAGCAAACTCAGGGACAGTGCCCAGGCCCTGAGTTCATGACCAAAAAAATAAACAAAAAAACTAGTTGAGTTTCAGAACTTCCTAGCAACTTTGAAAAGATCTCCAGGATCCATGTTAAATGTACCTAATTAGAAACTATAGGAAAAATTCCCAGAAATCTATATTTTTAAGAATTCCTCAGGGATTCTCACAGGCACCCAGTTTGGTTACCCACTACTTTAGCTTGTCTAGCATGTACAAGGCCTTAGATTACATCCCAAGCACTGCCAAAAACTGAGAGAGAGAGAGAGAGACAGAGACAGAGAGACAAGGAGACAGAGAGACAGAGGAAGAGAGAGAGGGATTGAGATTCAGAGAGATTGCCATTGGAAATCTGTTTTAGCCAGCCAAGTAAGGATGCCATGAACCAGATACTTTTCACCTCAGTAAGAGGGCTTCAGATTCACACAGATGCTGGTTGCTTATTGTTTCTTTTGTCCTATATCTATTGGGGCAGGACTGATAGCTATTTACTTCCTGTTAGAGTTCTAGGTTGTCAATTCAAGGTTGCCAAGGCTCTACTGAAAAGTGGGGAAAGCACTTCAGGCAGACCCCAAGGTAAGAGCAGCAAAGCATTTGGCAACAAATGGGAGTCTTTTATTTCCAAAATACCACACCTGTCTCCAAACTTACAATGTACCATATTTAAAAAGACATGAAAGAAGTAAAGGTGTAGGTCAAGTGGTAGAGCATCAACTTTGAGCAAAATAAGGTAAGCACGGTGTGAGTTCAGAAAGAGAGAGAGAGGAAGGGGAAAGAAGAGAAAGGAGAAAAGAGTGGATGAAGAGAGAGAGGAGGGGAGAGGAGAAGGGAAGATGGCTGGTTCCTGCGTTCTTCATTGAGAATGTAAAACAGGAAAAGTTGGCAGCTGGTGAAATGGAAGAAAAAGCTAATAACTCCCAAAGCAACTCCAAAGCACAACCTTTAGTGACTTTTACTGGCTGCTTATAGTAGACCACATGGCCGCACAAAACACCCTCTCCTTAGGGCTGAGTTGGTATAAGGTCCTCCCAATACCATAGTGAAAACTGAGGTAGGCTCAGCAAAGCCCCTGCAATTCAAGAATTGGTGTGCAAGCCAAGTCACAGAATCTGTATTTTATCAGTCTGTAGCTAGCTTGCATGTAGCTATGAAAAGTGGTCACTGACCAGCTAAATGAGAAACGCAGTGGAGATAATTTAATTTACTAATAAATTAAGGATAATAAATGGAAATAATTGAAGAGGGTACAATAAAACACTTACTTCATGCCAGCAGCTGTACATGATAGTATATACACTCTCTGAAGCCAGATGAGGCCTGTAGAGACGTAGGCCTTTGGCAATGTGTTCAGCTGTCTCACTGTTGGTAAATCTCTCATATGGCATCTTCCCCAGGGAGTAAATTTCCCACATCAAGACCCCTAGAAGATGAAATAAAATGGGTAAGTTTGCCATTTTTTGGAGTACTAGAGGTCCTAATCCTTCTAGATCAACTTCAAATATTAGAATCAGCTTTCTGCACATGTCCAGACTTCTTCAATAGTACTGATTACACTGGAGGGCTACAGAGTTGCACTAGACAATTAGCTACTCTAGAAGAGAGGCAGCATTTGATTTGTCTTTGTAGTTCACAGAGTCTGGCATACTGCCTAGTACATGATCAGTATTCAGAAGCTGTTGGATCCTGAATAAATTGTTTCCCTCAATATATTTTAAGTTCTAAGAAGGCAAGGTTAATATCCAGTTTACTGATTTTTGTCCTCAGAAACCCCCTCAAACACTCCCCAAGGAATAGATGGTCTCCCTGTACAGGTTACACAGTTGGGATTCTCTCATAGCACTAATCTTTCTTTCTATATGATCTGTATAATCTCCTTCACTTACCAAAAGCCCAAATGTCAGATTTACTGCTGAACTTGCTGTACATAAGGACTTCTGGTGGAGCCCACCGGACTGGAAATTTGGAGCCCACTGAACTGGTGTATTCATCATCCAGAACATACCTGTAAGGGATCCAAGATTTGTTGCCATTAGTATTTGGAGAACTTGATATTTGCTTAAATCTTCTTGGCACACTCAAAAGAGTTCCACAGGTTTTCTCAAAAGTCTTAGCCGATTAGCCAGTGTTTTTTTGTTTTGTTTTGTTTTCCCAAATGCTACCTTTAACAAAATTCCTGTTTTCATTACTGATTTAAGCTTTCCTTATTGACAATATGGTTACAGGAAGGATAAAGTGAAATGAGATCTAATCAATATTATTTTCCTTTTTTTAACACCCTTTGCTTCCTCTGTTTTCCTCTTCCTTCCAATTCTGCAGTTGCCAGTGGGAATTAGATGTAAAGGGAGAGAGGAGAGATTAGGAATATAATAATTAAACAAAAGGATGAAAGATGTGACCTAAGTAATTCAGAACAAGAAAAAGAACAAAAAGATGGTAAGAAATACTAGAATAAGAGCAGAAAAAGGAAATTAAGGGATTAAAACGGTCTCACTTCCCCATGTTTATGCTGTTCCAGTTTTAAGGGAAAAAAAAAACTTAAAAAGCACACTCACCTAGACAGGCCAAAGTCAGATACCTTCACAACTCCTCGATCGTTTACCAAACAGTTTCGAGCTGCCTGTAGTACAACAGAAACCGGTGAGACCTTATCCCTGGCACACAGGTTAAAGGAACAGAGCTTCTGCCTACCAGTGGAATGAAACCATCCGCTTCAATTAGAGATATGCCCATATGATAGGAGTCAGTGGATGCCATTGCCAAACACTGATGCATTGCTACCATACAGAAAGCAACCTGCTATGGAAGTCCTAAGTTAAGCACAGAGGAGGTACAGCACAAGTAAATTTACATGAGCAATTCCACTGCAATGAAATACTGAAAGAATTAGGGAAAAA